CCTCCTGCTACCAGTGGACCTCGAGGACGAGAACGAACAGGGAGCAAACCGCGCAGGTTTCTTTTCATTGATTTAAATGAACAGCTGAAACCTTTTCTGCAAGAACTGGATAACTGAGAACTTTCTTTCCAAATTAATATCTCAGCTCTTGACATTCTCTTTGTTATCCAGAATTATCTGTAAATTCCTAAAGTTGTCTGGATTAACAGGTCCTCTGGGTTTCATAAACCTTTTTCTGAAGTCTGGTTTTCCTTCAATATTTAGAAATGATTGTAGCCCAGGACTTGGCACAAACTTTTAAATCAAACCTTACAGTCTCCACACCCTATTTTGAATTAATGACTAGAATCATGATGTTTGGTCTAATTACAGCAGTTTTTCATCCCATTCATAGAGCCTTTTTTTTGCAGGCCATCCATCCTGGAGCGCTGCATCCTCAAAGTGTCCCACAGCAGTGTGGCTGTGGGGACAGATGATGTTGATGGTAAAAGGTCAGTGAGAAGTTCATATCTATACTTGATCCTGACTGATCAGCTTCAGGACATTTCTGCCTGAGAAGCAGACACTGAAGAGTTTATCTTCAAATCCTCCTGTCAGGATGCATTAAAATCAGCCTGACTGAAATGTTGGCCTTTACTGTGACTGGTCAGAGCTGAAGCTGTGCTGAAGTTTTCCTCAACATTTCTGTAGCTTAGATATTGATGTCTTTCAGGCCAACTTTCTCTCGCTGCTATAGCCGCTTGCCAGATCCAGCAAACACGGAGACCAATGCGGCGGTCTTGAAGCGGCGTCAGAAACAGATCCAGTATGGCAAGAACACCAGCGGCTACCAGAACTATGTGCAACAGGTCCCCAAGTAAGATGATTGATCTGCACCTGGCGTTACAGTCCATAGGCTCCCCCCACTGATGAACTGATCTTACCCTCAGACACCTGCGGGATCCTAAGCTCCACCCATCCACTCCCAACAAGTACCGCAAATACAGCCGGCGTTCCTGGGACATGCAAGTCCGTCTGTGGAGGCGGGCACTGCACATGTGGGACCCACCAACCAGTGATGAGCCGGACACGCCAGACCCAGTGGAGCAGCTGTAGGTGGAGCCTGCTGTTAACTCATGGTTCTGATCAAGCTGTTTCAGCTTGACTGTCTGCTGCCCTCTAGTGGCAGATCCAGGATGCCTTCAGTGCTCCTGAACTCATTTAAAGACTTTCACTGAATATTAAGTTGAAACATTTCACCACTAAAACTTTGTCTTATTGGTTCTCCCAGAAATTTGGACTGTTAAAGCTGCAGTCTAATGCAGCTTATCTAGAACCATCATGGCGATGAGCCAGACTCTGGAAATGAATTCCTCCCATTTACTCGTCTGTGCAGGCAGAGTCAGCTGGCCAAGATGACTTCGGACCTGTGTGAGGACAGAGGAGATGAGCAGAGAGAGGAAACTCCTGCAGCCTCAGAAGCCTCCTCGGTGTCTCCTCTGTCCATGGAGGTTCCTGGATCCTGGATGATCCCATTGTCCCCGGTAACGCTGCTCAGTAACCAACATATCAGAGCAGGACGTCAGAATCTGTGGTTTCTTGGTTTAAATGCCACAGAGAAGCTTGAGAACTAAACCTCTAATAGACTTAGAATTGTGGCTACCTGCTAATTCATGTCTTATATCGGTCATATTGTCCCCCATGAATTTTGGTCTGTGTGGTGTTTTTTTTTTTTTTTTTTTTTCCCCCTTGCAAGGATGAGCTGAGCTCAGGATTTCGGTCTAAAAATACTGAGCAGAGGAAAAAAAAGCGTTATGGCTAGATGAGTCTCCTCACATCTGGTACTGGCTTAGAACTGGACCATTTAGTTCTGAATGGATCTCTGAAAGCATGGCCAGGATTTATCTAGACCATGTTTTCATTTTACATTTTATTTTTTGAGCTGGTATTCAGCTGAGCTGTTTGCTGCACCCAGCTAGAAATCAGATTCTTTGTGTCTTGAATTGTCATTGCTCCTTTATCCAGTCTGAATCTGTAGCAGATTAGGCATACAGATGGTTTGAGTGACTTCATATCTAACTATTTGGTCCTTGGTCAGAGGAAATCTCTCCTGTCTGAATGACCAACTAGCTTCTCTCCTTCATCAGCAGGTGGAGATGAGCCGCCGGCCTCTTCGCTCTCCTCCTGGTCTCAGCTACACTCACAGGAGTCAGCTGACCCCTGATGATGGCATGAATGACTGGCTCCGGCTCCTGATGGAAACCGACCATACCTCAGGTGAGGTGAAGCTCATTACAAAACGGCTCCTGTTTAACTGATTCTGAAAGTTTTGCTTAAATGGAGATGTAACCTTTATTTTAATATAAATGACTATAAAGGTTATTTTTCTATAACAAGATCCAGAAATGATGCATACATGTCAAGTTTGGACCAATGGGCAAATTGTTCTCCCTCACCCTTTGCCAAGAATTAAAAACTGTAGTTAGGATTTTTCAACACTAGATGGCGGCAGAGAAGGTTTTGAGGGTTTGGAAAAAACTCAAATTTAACTTGAACACAAATGATAAAACTGCTTAGATTTTTCAAGAAGCAGATTAAAAATGATTTCCATAATTTTCTTTTTTTTTAAGTTGGATCAGCACCACCTCTGCTGTTTAAATGCAACCCCATCTCCTCTGGTCATTTATTTTATTTTTTTTTTCCCTTAGATTTCGGCTCAGATGACCAGCAGGTTCCCGTGTTTTCTGACCAGCTCTTCTGGAATCCGTACTAGTGATCCAATCCAACATGAGCCCAGTTTGACCCGTTGTTGACATAATTGGCCGTGGCGTCTTTATCTGCTGACTCTGAACATTTTTCAATGTGTTTCTGGAGCATCCAACTCGTCTTTTTAACGTCACCAACTTCACTGACAGCAGGGACGTAATCCGTCCCTGATCTGAGCTCCGTCTGCCCTTCTGACCCGTTCTGGCAGCGGGAGGGAGCTGGACTCTTTATTGTTTGCACTTGTTTTACTTTAACTATCAAACTGAGCACTTGTCACCTGCATCACATCCAAGTCCTACACTGAGGGGAAAGTCACGCGTTTGTCCTGTTTGTCACTTGGTTGTTCCTCGGTCCCTCACATACAACCTTTACTCGTAGTTGTCATGTTTCCTTTTAAAAAACAAAGCTCCTGATTGGATGGGGGGGTGCTGCCACTTTGTTTTCTGATATTTATTTTACTTCTCTGCTGCTTTAAGTAAAGTGAAATGTGATTAATAAAGATGTAAATAAAAAGTTAGAAACCCAGACACTGATCTACTCTTTAATTGACCTTGGATGTGGTTGCCATTAAACTTCTCTTTTTTTTTTTTCTTTTTTTTTTTGCTCCCCCTCCCTGACTTTTTCTACAGAGCACTTGGAGTTGAACCCAAGTTTAGTATTTTCTTCTACAGCTTTATTTTTGATAAAATTACATTGTCGTTCTTGACTGCAGGTCAAAGATGTACAACCTTTCAGAGTTAAAGTGGCTAAAATTTAAAAAGGAGTTTAAGCTCCAGAGCCGGTTCTAAAGTGGAACTCTAACCAGATGGAACCTTTTATACTGAAAATGTTAAGTTGACTCTCTTGCTAGGGTGATTCTGTTGCTTTTTTATTTATGCACACACCCATATATATATATATATATATATATATATATTTGCTCATCCACAGAGAAAATATCTAAAATGGATACAATTGTGTAAATTGTGATGAAAATTGCCAAAATTTAACGTGCTTAAATGTAATGAACTTGACGTTCATTTTGTTTACTCTTAATAGTTATTTTATAGAACTTTTTTTTTTTTTTTTTTTTTTTTTTTTAAACACTGAACAACTCGAATTACAATTTCATCAGTTCAAAATGTGGACACTCAACTGCCAGCATTTTAGAATTGGTCAAGGATTTCGTTTATGACGATTTTATTTGGAGACACCTGGTTTAGAATGTAAATTAACATGTACAGGAAAAACAAGGTTAAGGAAAAATTATGTACACATTCATCTTGTAGTGCAGCAAGTTCCAGAGCAGTCTGTCAGGAGGGGGTAAAAAAAAAATAAAATAAAAATTCAGTGAAATATTTGTTTAATGCAGTTTTTGTAATGAAACTGCACCCATGGTGCATTCTCCAGGTGGGTGGGTTCTTTAGCAATACTTTTTTTTTTTTTCTCCTTTGATTAATGGAACATAACCGTCCAGATCCGGTAACCTACAATCCCCTCTGCTGTTTGCATCAACCAGACCAGAGTATTTTTTAATCCTGTACAGCTCCTATTGCACACCCTCAAGCCGAACCATTGGATGCTCTTTAATCATAGCTTTAGACATTTGTCAGAAACTAAGTTTTTCAGTTTTCTAAAATGGAATAGTTTGCAAACTCCCTTTGCAATCTGCATTTGACCCAAAATGTTACAATCCATAATCTGCCCATTATTTAAAGGGGCCTAGAAAATGATATATTCATCTTCAAATGAAACACCATTTCATTTGTTCTGATAGTGTTCACTTTGTCCTTTTCTTAGCCTGAAAAAATGTACATTGTGGGCCATCTGCTGGCAGCTTATAATAAGTTGGAAACTGGAAAAACAGTGAATATCATGAGCATTATACACTATAATGCATATAAAGCATTATATACGGTAATATAAAAAACTGAAAATGTTTGAACTGTAAATATAGTCGTATGTTTATATTGACTTATGACTCATTGATGTTTTCAAGGCTGCACTTTAAAAAAATAAATAAAATTTATTTTTCTTTACACTTGTGTATACAAAATGACTATAACTAGGAGCCTAAGCATAGCGTTGCTATCACTGGTATCTGCATTAATTAGGCATTGTACGCAAACATCCATCAACTTGGCAGCAAAGTTTGAATGCTTCCATAGCTTCAGCTCCCACTTCAGCTTACACCAGTGTTTGCATGGTGCTCCAAGCACTACCTGTGCCCTATGATTCTTGGCATCACATATTTTTGTTCGCTAATTTTTCACACTTAATCTTGGACCTTTCTTTTTTTATTTTTGCACCCCCACTGGGCTGTGCCAACGGGCTCGTCTTAATTTCTTCTCCCATAGACGTACGATTATGGCTCTTGTTTGCTCCTCGCACTGATGAGCAATATTCATGTGGTCTTAATATATAAAAAGTACTTTGTAAATAAATTAAAGTGCAAACTATTGTAGAAAGTCTAAAGGTCATAGTATGTGACTAGGCCCTTTAATACAACTTTACTCTGCTTTCACAGTAGCTAAACATGATTGCAGTAATGGTTCCTGCAATCTTTTTCCAGATTGGTATATATTTAGTGCTGGTAAAAATAGATTTTTATTTTTTATTTAGCACATTCTGATCAGCATTTATGATGCATAATCATAATGCAAAGTCGCAACATATTTGCTCCTGATGTTCCACCTATTTAACAGATATAAAATCCATGTGCACCTGGTCAGTAGATCAGCTTTGCATTCACTATTTAGTTTGCAAGTGGTTTTATACCAACAAACCTTTAATAGAGCGGGACCAGAGACTTTAGGGTGTCTTGTCCAGTAAGATCAGGTTTTCTTGCTGCTTTCCCACACAAATCTGGAATGTGAGAAGCACTGCAATCAAAGAGACAGGTTTCCATGCACAATGTACAAAACAGCAAATACTTTAACTTCTTTAAACTTCTTCTGTGTATAAAGTGTTTATCTTTTCTAGAGCAGAGGTTTCCAAACTTTACTGCTCTGACCCACAAAGTAGTATCAGACAGACTCATTGACAAACAGTTGGTTGAAATACAAACATTGGGAAAAAATCAATTAACCATGGGTATAGTATTAAGCCAAACCGCTTTGACCACCTCTAAGGTGTTTTGTCCCTTTCTTTGTGATGTTTTAGAGGATCTTGAGAAGCCATACTTGCTGATCTGCCATCTGAAGCAGTTTTGGGACCCCAACTTTGGGAATTACTGGTATAGAATATAACTTTTCATTTATACTCATTGAAAATACAATTTTCTTTGACTTTTCCTTAGGTTCAACTTTCATTTACTAAGCTGCTAAAACTATTTAATTTCCTCCTATGGGCATTATACATTTATTTATTTATTTTGTAATGATACTTGTATCACGGTATACAGGTTTATGTGCTCATTTACTCAACGTTTTAGGGTGCTGGATTACCGAAACAGCTATTTCTGCCATCTTCTCTCTTAAAAAAAGCACATTCTATTGGTCACTATAGTCCCTCTTCACTAATCTTCACAGCAGTTCACTATAGGAGCTATATTGGGCACTTTGTGAGTAACTTATTTTAAACAGGTACGGACCCAGATCTTCCTTTGAAAAGCTGCCTCTATGTGGTGGAACATCCTCAGATCATCACTAAGCTCTTCCTAAAAAAGCTCAAAATAAAATGCTCTGAATTATGGTAACTCTATAAAGATGGTGAATCAAGATGACTGATCTTTTGGCCGCCCTGTACCTCTTTTTTCCACATGTCCCAAACCATCAGGGTTTATTAAAGAGGATAATCACTCCAATCTACTACATGACTTCATGATGTCCTGGAGGATTTTTGCCCCAAAATGACTTGTATTCTGCCATTGCTCATGTCTAAGCATTTGTGAGCAGCTAGTGCTAAACAAGCTCTGCACTGGTGATGTGATTCCAGATGGTAAAAAAAAAAAAAAGATCCAGGAATTTGTATTTTTTTAAATAAATTTCTTTTTTATAGTACTTTGAGGTCTTTTTGCAGTATAAATGAAATGTATCATTATTATGTGATGTATTAAACCTTGTCATCTGCAGCCGAATCTCTGTCTGAGGTTCTTAATTATATAGAAAACACTTTTCTGTCAGCAGCTGTTAGGAATGTGAAAATGACTGCAGCTTTTCTTTAAAAGGAACAAGACAGTAATAAATTATAATAGCACATCCTTTTTAATATATATATATATATTAACTCACTTATTCACTTGTTTTAGCCATAAATAAATAAAAAGAAAATTTTAAAATAACTGAGGGGTTAATTTAAAGTTAGTCCAAGCGTTTTTGAGGTTTAGAATCCACAATTAACTTCTTAAAACTTATTTTTATATTATATATATAATAGGATATTCCCTGCCTGTAATGTTTATTTTTGGTTGCATTGGAAGCTGAGGTGTGCAGCTTCAGGAAGGTGAGGGTAAATGCATCTGCTGTACTGTGATTTGCAGGTTAGAGAGAAACAGCAGAGCTGCTGCTGTAAACAAGCTTCTCTCAGCCTAGAAACTACATCCCCCATAATCCCCTGCGCTGCAGCCTTGTTTTCCCTTCTGCTGGATTATTTTTCGTGTTTCTGCAGGATTTTTGACTTGATTGTCGACTGTTTGCGATCCGCGCAGGGTGGATGAGTGAAAAAATAAATAAATATGAAGCAGGTGTCGATGATGAAGCATTAAGCATCGCTCCTCCTCCACCTCCTCCTCCTCATCCTCCTCCTGGCACCGTAAATGTTATTTATGAATGCCCGCCGCTCACGGGCGTGTGCGCGCAGGATTTCCATCAATATGTTGGATAATTAAGAAACATCAGGCCAGAACCAAAGCAGATCTGTGGGGCGATACCGGGAGGTCAGAACGACAAAGATCCGTTATTTGATTCATCCTGGAGGGTTCGGTCCCGCTGCTCTTCAGTAATACTGGGTCAATACCAGACCGGAACCGCCTCACTTCGACACCGCATCAGGTAAGCAGCCGCTGGGACATACAGGGAGGGGGGGAATGATTGCATGATCGGTTCTGGTTCAGATCCATCTGCAGCATCCAGCCGTGTTTCCCTCCCCTTCACCCACTCAGGGGGCTCACAGGCCGGCCTGTCTGTGCCAGCGGCTCCGCTGTGATGATCCAGGCTGGCTGAGGGGGAGCAGGCCTGTAGCTGATCATCACCCAGACATCTCCGCCTCATGTCGGCCGGTTGTTTATTCAATCAGTGCCGCTGTTAGCCCGCAGGCTTCTGTCTACTGCCGTTATCTTCGGTTAGCTTCCATGTTTATGTTACCCAATCCCAGATAGCCCCCCTATCAGACCCCCATTACCCGATCAGTCCTCCTATGCAGCACCGTTAGCTCCCCTTTAGTCTCTAGTTGGTTACCATTTTGAAGGTACCCCTTCTATTACCCCCTATATACATATATATTTTAGACACATTAATCCACCCCACACCACTAGCATTAG